CAGACCACTTGATCCCGTAAACATAAATAATTGTAATAAATGAGAACGGAAAAAATCGTAAAAGATATGTGAGTTAGCCTTTCTACAGATCGACCCTCTATTTTGTCTTGAGTTCGAGATAGCAAGCTTAGCAAAATATTAATCCGACGCGTGGGATATGAATGAATCAAAAAAAATTAACCTTACGTCTGTGGACAGAAATATTTTGTTTGGCATTAAAAAAGAAAGCCGTTTCGAGCGTAATCTATGGCAAAGAAGTGATGTAAGATTACAAGCTTAAAACAGCCGTGAGAGTATTGAAAAGCCATCCACCAAGTAAGCGTGTTTATTGTTTTGTTGTTAGACTAAAAGGAATACAATGTATACAAAACGTTTTATGTGTTCTGTGGAGTTTTACTTGCGGTGCTTTCCGCGCACAAGTGGAGCCCCATACCCACGAAAATTTGGTAATTCATTGAGCTAAAAAAAATTTGGTAGTCACTTGACCGTCCGTCCGTACAAGCATTCAAGGTTTTGCTCTAGTTCATAACACACAAAACAATCTTTTGTGGCCTTAAAATTGATTGGAGGAAACACCTAACGCTTGAGAGGCACCGAAGAGGAAAATCATGGAGTAGAGAGTCAAAAACCTTGCTAGTGAAAAATACCTTTTCTCTTTACTTCGACGACGATCATGGGAAAAGCACCCTCCACGCTACGCCGGAGAAATTTAAAAACGGCGTTTCTACTCCGAAAAGGCATCAAATGTTTTCCGTCCACACCACGCCGGAGAAACAATCACCGGTCATTTTGGATTTGTGGTTAAGGACAACTCGGGCAGGGAGATCACGTGATTATTGTGATGTCATCGTTTTCGAAAAGCTTCATTTTCACAATTTTTTCCGTCCACACTAACGCCCCGTTCACACGGGTGTCTGGAAAACCCGAATAGCGAATAGCGAATAGTCGCAAATAGCGAATAGCGAATAGTCCCAAATAGTGCGAATAGTCGCGAATAGTCTCGAATAGTGCGAATAGTGGCGAACGGTCGCGAAAAGTGGCGAATAGTGACGAATAGTCGTCAACAGTCACCGCTTTAGANGCATCAAATGTTTTCCGTCCACACCACGCCGGAGAAACAATCACCGGTCATTTTGGATTTGTGGTTAAGGACAACTCGGGCAGGGAGATCACGTGATTATTGTGATGTCATCGTTTTCGAGAAGCTTCATTTTCAAAATGTTTTCCGTCCACACTAACGCCCCGTTCACACGGGTGTCTGGAAAACCCGAATAGCGAATAGTCCCGAATAGTGCGAATAGTCTCGAATTGTGGCGAACGGTCGCGAAAAGTGGCGAATAGTGACGAATAGTCGTCAACAGTCACCGCCTTAGATCTAATATCCAGCGTTAATTAATTATCCAAATAAACAACAGAATTTCAGTGAATTTCTTACCTTTTCTTCTCCGGACTCAGGCTAGTAGGCTGCCCATCGCCGACATTAAGAAAACAGAAAACACAAGGATAACCTATTAAAGACGTATTTACGCTTTTGCAG